AACGCAAAGAAAAGACTTGGACCTTCCTCGCAGTCTCTCTCTCTTTCTCTAATCAAATTCAATCCATCTCTCCTGAACGTCAAGCAGGGACTCCTGGAAGCTTAGATCGCCAGCCCACGGCGGAGCAAAGTGCTCGTGTTCAAAAATATCCGATTGTCTCAGGAAGCTTGGCCCTCTTTCTTGACAGCCCCCTCCTCTTCAATCATCTCTTCCAGCAAGAGCTGCTTTGGCCCGCTGCCTCCGATCAGCCTGAAGCCAACAGCCGAATGCCACGAGGGAAGAGGCCTTAGCTTTTGACCTTTGGCATCATTCAGGTGGGTTTTTTCTGTCCACCAACCACTTTCTTCAGGGTTCCATATTAAAATTCATGGCCACATGGTGCAGAATGGTGAAGTTCAATCTCAAGCAGAACCCTGGCCAGCGCCTCTCTTTTGCGAGAGAAACCAGTCGCCCTGCAAATGGAGCGTGCAAAAACAAAGAAACGTGGGCGTCAGGCGTTGACAAATCCAAAGCCAGTCCCACGCTTTCATGCCGAGGTGCCACCGAACGTGTGGGTGCCTGCGCAAGCAACAAACACATGATGTTCCGGTCTTAACGGCATCCGCAAAACAACACATGCTCCAAATCTTTCGAATCTGGCAAATGCAACTTCAAACGTCCCTGTGGCCCTTCTCCCGAGACCTTCTGAACCTCGCCTGCGGCAAATCTCAGGCACCGCGCCCACAAGGAGATCCACGCCCTCGCCGAGTTCGCTGTGTTTGGACAAACCGGGGCCTCTTTTTCGGCTGCCATTCGTGATGGATTGGTCGAGTCACCGGATTGCTTGTAGTTATACTATTGAAGGCTGAAGCCGGAAGCTCGTGAACTGCCCAGGCACAAGAGCTGCAAACCCTTGTGGTTCCAACGGCACGACTGATCTTTCGCATCCGAATTTCCTGGTTGGAGGTCACATTTGTGCGCAAAAAAATATGCTCGCTTCACATAATTAGGGGCTGTCTGCTTGGTAATCTCCTGGGCTCATTCACCTGGGTGGCTCATACACACATACTCCTGTAGGTGCCATCAGCAAGTGAAAGCTTAAGTATGGCTCAATCTTGTTTGACCAATCCGCTTACCCCAGCTGGTGGTTCATTGATATTGGTGATTTGGAGATTAGGGTGTGGCTTGCCATCAACACCAGAAAACAACCACCCGTATGTTTGAGGAATCTGGGGGGGGGGGGGTAAGGGGATCCTATGAATCAAAGGGTCAAAGCCAGACCGCCTTGCGGTACGTGAGGCGGCTCACCACCACGATGGTCACCCAGGGCGCTGCTGAGCGCTGTGAGGGGTCCGGCCAGAAGCGCCTGCACATGGCCATGGGTCAAAATCCAAATCGTACCCCCAGTGAACATCCGATTCAAACCCAACTAAAATAGGTTCTAAAATGGGTGGTGCACCTACCCCAACATGGTACCATTGGTGTTGACCCACAGCCACATGGCTCTCAACGTCCGCAATGACCACCAGGCCCCATGGCGGAGACGAGCAAACCAATGGAAAGCACGTGCTGGCAAATCATGATTAGAGTTAGACCCAGTTATAGAATGTATACTTTATTGCTTGCTTCACAATCAGTCACTGGTAAAATGTGACATGTATCCTAATTCTAGCCCAGTGATGACGAGTTTATTGAAAGGCGCAAGTTGCACACTGGTGGTTCAAGGCACGCGAGCGAGCCTCGTGTCCACCGCGTTGGGAATGGCGGACACGGTCGCAGGCTGCAAGGCGGCTCGCAGAACCAGGTTCTCTCTGTTCGTGTGCGAGACGCAGATGCAATGCCTCAAAGATCGACGGAAGCTCGGAGTCTGACCTGCTTGACAAGCCGTCAACGAAAGCTACCAAAGTGCTCTTTCTGGGCTTTGTCATCAGCATTCGAGGCATGAGGCTTCGGGAGAACATCCTGACATCTCCAACGGCAGCACTGAATTGAGCACGGTCCAACGCTCTTCCAGCATCGTGCAGAAGGCACCAGCATCGCTCGACCCCCCACTCTGCGGCCAAGCGGCTCCACGTTCGTCAGGAAGAACTTCAGGAGCTTGTTTACCTGACGCAACAGAATTCCGTGCAAACCCGTCTGTACAAAAGATGCAAGGAGCGCGCGTCTCACCAAGCTTCACATGCCTGACGGGTCTAACTAACTCGTCTTACCTGACGCACTCCGGCTGGGCGCACTGGCTGCACTTCAGCTAACACCGGGCTCCTGGCATGGATGCAAGCAGCATCCGCAAAGCCGAAGAGGGAGTGATCGGTGTAGACGGTGTGGTAGCCCATGGTGCGTGCATGCAGAAGGCACCTTGCAGGAACAGCAGACATTTCGGGAGAGGAGGAGCTCGACAAGGGAAAGAGCGCATAGTGTGAAGTGTTCAACCCAACCTATACCAAATTCTGTCCTTGCAACCCCTAGTTTGCCGCATGCCCAGCATCCTCTAAGCAGTCAAGCCCACTGTTCGGGAAGCCAAGCCACTCATGCGCCAGGTTTGAGGTGGCTTGGTGGCCGTGCACCAGGTCAATGCGCTCTCTCAGCAGCACTTTCCGGATGAGAGGAAAGAAGGAGAGGAACGTGGGAAGAGTACCTCCGAGTGCGTTCCCATCCGTTGACCAAAGCCTTTTCCCGTCTGGCTTCCCGGAAGACTTGACCATGTTGACAGGCTGATCCTCCGGACCAAGTTGGCAACGGACGGTTCACCCAACAAGCACCCCCCTGAGCTGCTCCCAACTCTGCTGATAAGCGCCTTCAATCGACCCACACCCAACTCCCATCCAGGTTGCAATTGTCGTGGAAGGGGAGGAATGGCAGGTAGTAGACTTTCCTTGGCTGTCAAGTCCGAAACACCAGCAACTCCAGTTGAATCAAACCACTTCATCCTTCTACTCTGCACCAGCAAAACGAAAGCAACCACTTCAGCAGCCCTGGCCCGATATGGCAAATCGTACCGAGCTTCAGGCCGTTGCTCATGTACCGCACTCCCTGCCTCTCACCGCGGAAGTGGGTGACCACGACCACCTGGTGCAAAAACCAGGGTCGACAAGACATATCGAACAACTCGGCGGCTGAAAGGCCATGTCACTATCACCAACCCATCTTCATTGATGGGGTGAGGCATTAAAAAAAAAAAACGTATTAAGCATCAAGAAAGACTTAATTCTAAAGATCAAGACAAAACTTATTAGGCATCAAAGGACTTATTGGGCACCATTTTACCGCAGTAAAAATACTGAACACTGCAGCATCAACAAAAAAGCTTACTAGGCATCATGGGCTTTCTTTGTTTAGACTTTGTTGAGGGTGGGTTTACAGCGGGCTGGTTCGGGGTTGTTTGGCTTAGGGTGGGTTTGAGGTGGGTTCAGGGTAGGTTGACGAAACAACCCGCAGAAAACCCACCATAGCAATCTCTAAACAAAGCAGCCCCGGCCATGATTGTTTCTGAAGCCTAACAAGTTGTTGTTTGATGTCACAGCGTCGAGGCTTTTAATGCGTTCTGTTTCGACAGGTTGTTGCTTGATGCCTAATAAGTTTCTTCTTCCTCAGTTCCTTTCTTACTTTCTTACTTCCTTCCTTTGATTCCTTTCCTCCTTCCTTCCTTCCTTCCTTCCCTCCTTCCCTCCTTCCCTCCTTCCCTCCTTCCCTCCTTCCCTCCTTCCTTCCTTCCTTCCTTCCTTCCTCGCAGTTGCATTGGGTATAGCCATAAGTTTTCTTCTTGATGCCTGATAAGTTGCTCATTGATGCTTAGTTTGTTTTGTATTGATGCCTAACAAGTGTGCTTTGATCCCTATCCCATGTTCATTACATGTAAAACCTCGTAAAGCGCTGAGCTCTTTGGAAAATGCCGAGCTCTGCAGTTGTGTTCTCTGCACCTTCAATGTTTATAGGTCGATAGCCTCAGCCCGAGGAGAATCAAGATTCCTGTTGTCTATGTCAGCTTGTCAAGGGGAACTCCTAAGAGTGGCACCACAGAGCAGAGGCAAACTTCGTGTTCCGGCATCTGCGCAACGCGATTCCGCCATGAGCGCCAGCCTTGTGCCCTCGCTGAATGAGACACTCAGACAGCTGGTAGATGTGCATCTCCACACCTCCAAGGCCTGACGAAAAAATGCGTAAAAGCTAGGAACCCCCCTCGTTGCGCAAGCTTGAAGTGTAAACGACCCGGAAAATCTCGCAGTGTCGCACGCCTGGATGGAAGAAGTCTGAGACCATGCAAATGCTGAGCCGCATCTCTTGCTCCTGGCAGATATGAAGCTAGCCCTGTACGTCCAGTACGCTGAAGAAACACGAAACAAGACTCGCTGCAGCCGCTGTGAGTTGGGCCAACAGACTTCGAAGGGAGCCCAGCCGACGGCCGTTCTTTGGCCTCAGACCATGTCTTTGATTGGATCTGTGCGCTCACCCGCCTGAGCGCAGCCACAGCTGCAGACATTGCCCGGCGGTCACGGTGAGGTTGGCTTCAACCGTGCTTATGAAAGAGGCATTGCACCAACCGAAGCCGCATGATATGCTTTCATGCTGCTGGAAAATGGTGGAAAGGATGACTGCACTCCCAAACTTGTCGCCTTGACCTGCCCTTTCTCTGCTCAGAAAGGCTACATGACGTGCCTCTATTCATTCCGGGGTGATCTTTCTCTGAGCAGTGATCAATGAGCCGATGCAGTCTGTGATCTGACTTTCACCATGCGGTGTTAAATGAACAATTTGGCATATACCCAGCCGGAGACGCGACTGGAAGCTGCGCGGTAGTCAATAGAGCTGCACCCTCAATCACGAATGTTGGGCATGTTCATGCTCCCTCGTGTGTATACTCATTGCATATAGGAAGGAACATGTACATATATATATATATATATAATATTATATAATGATCATACAAATACACACGGAAGCAAACAACACACACACCATGACTAGACAATCATGACTCAAGACAATCAGCAGCCTGGCGCTTCTCAATGCACCGGAGTGCCTGCCTTGCCATGTGCCGTCGGAGCAAGCGGCCGCAAGTCTCCACATCCCGCCACACGTAGACCTAGTCTGCATGGTCTGCATGGTGGGCCCTCCCGAAGATTCCGAAGATTCCAACATTGGCCAAGCAACCAAGAAAGCCGGGATTCCACAGTCTCAAGGGCCAGGACTCGAGAGTGGATATGATAAAAGCGAAGGGCACAGCTTCTTGCCAGGGAGACCCGACTGCAACAAAACTCACGCCAAAATCTCACAGGCAAATGCGACCTTTATTGAGAGAGCCCCTAAACTGGGTGGTTTGCCTTGGGTTTCCCTCACACCCCGCGGCCCGGCCATGGCCCCTCTTCCCCATGGAAGTGCGAGGCGCGCAGTGGTGCCCGGGGCAGATGGCGGGGTCCGCCTTGGGCGCTTCAGAGAGCCACCGCAGCTCCTCTGGGCTCATGAAGAGCCCGTCCACGCAAAGCACCTCGGCCGCAAAGCGGAGATGAAGCAATGAACTCCCCGAGGGGCGGATCGACTTGTTGGGATGTGGGCCTTAACTTTCGTGTAAACGAATGAAAAAGGAATCGCAAACAAATGGCCCTGCTTGCTGGAATTCCAGGGATTTCCTGGCGGGCCCAAGACGACTGATGGCTGTTTTTTTTCCAAGCACTTTATCCAGAGCGCAGCGACCATGTGGCTCTCAATTGCAAAGCTCTTGAGCTGTTTTAACCAAATCGCGAATATGATGGTTCATATTTTCGATGGCTTACCATATTGGATCCTACGCGGGCAAATTATCATCTATCTGTCTATCTGTCTGTCTACCTTTCTATCTAAACTAAGCGTCTCATCTATCTATCTACTGACCTATCTATCTATCCATCCAACTATCTACTCGTTCCCTCACTGTCTATCTACCTAGCTCCACTGCCTTCGCTAGAGTGTCTGTCACATTTATCTGCGAAAATGCTGCGCATGCCTTGCAAAAGTGATGCACCTGCCACGAAATTTGGACTTGGCTTGCTCAAACGCTAGGCCCTTGCTAACGCGCTGCCCCTGCCACGCAACGTGTATCTCACCTTGCACAAGCACTTCGCCTGCCACGAAATCTGTACTTGACCTTGCTAAACGTGCTGCGTCTGCCACGAGCTTGCAAAGCTGCAAATCTGCTGCCACAAGCGTGCATCCGCGCCAGCAGGCCCAGCGCCGAGTGTGCCCCGAACACGCTCCGAACGCGCTCCGAGAGCGCTCCGACCAGGCGTCGCGATCAAAAGGAAGCGAAAACCGACAAGGTGGCACTTTTGACAGCCACACACGCTCGCATCTCTCTCTCTCTCTCTCTTTTTTTGTGCGTGCTTATTCTTCTCTTGTCATCTGCCACAAGACATAGCTTTCAATTAGTTGCCGTGCCACGGAATTTCCTTCTAAACTGCCTTTGAATAGCATCAACACGTTCTCGCTTCAATTTCGGAGCAACCTCGGTGCCAAACTGTGGCTCCCCAGTCACTCAGGCGGAAAGAGGCACTGGACTCAGGCGAGGACCGATGGTTGGGATTCAAATGGTTGGATTAACAGTGTCCGAAGAACTCAAAACCGGCGAGTCGAACACGAGAAATCTTAAGGGTGCAAGACTCGAGGCGATCAGCCCATGACCGCCCTGCGCCGACCCCGCCGAACCAAAACCCGGAGCCTCTGCCTGTAGGAAGCTTTCAGTCAGCAGCTCCCGCGCGCGGCGGCAATCCTGCGGCTGCACTCCAGGGGTTGGGCCAACCTCTCTCGCCTCCCGCGCAAACAACGGTCACCTAAGGTAACCTCACCCTGATTCAAAAGAATTGCAATGGGGGAGCACTGAGGCCTCGCAGTCCGAGTGTTGAGCAAGCGTGGCTATGTGCAAAAAGTGTTGGCATCAAAGTCGATGTCCCGAAGCATGAGACCCAATCCTGAAAGGGTCCGACGTCAGCCAGTCCTTGTGAAAGAAACCTGTGCTTGAATCGAAAGAAGGCCTTTCTAGAGATCCCATTGAGACCAAGGACGACATTAGCCAGGCACTTGGACACATCTCTTCTTCCTGACCCAAGTTGAAAATCTGCGCTGCAGCTTCGGGCTTCAGCTACTGCCAAGGCCAGTCCTCCATGGGTACCACTGCGAAGGCATCGAAGCTCTGAAATCTGCGCACCTCATGGAAGCGCCAAACCAACTGCAGAAGTCTCAGCCCAAGGGCCCAAAAGTACCTCTGGACATCTCTGGATTGGCCGCGCAGCGCTTCCCTCGCCTCAGCCTCAAAGGGGATAGCGTACTGTGCCTGGAAGGCAACCTGTGCCGCCCCCAGATGAAAAACCCGATCTCGTGAGGGGATTCCAGCATCGGCCTTCCCAGCCCGACACCCCAAAAACTCATGTTACAAGTCTGGGTCCTTTGGGCAAGAGGGCCTTGCCCATGCTTCTCACCGCCTCTGAGGCGTTCCTGGCTCCCTTCGCTGGCTCTGCGACCTTCCCTCCCCCTGGACCAGTTGCGCCCGAGGCAATGTGAGGTCGAGAGCACACCAGTGAGGCAGAATCAAAACCCGGCACAAAAATGGTGCACCCAGAACCATGTAAAGAACGAAGAAGGCGGCCGCAGCTATTTATGGTTGGGATCGTCCCTTTCTAACCCTCACCTACCCGGGTTTTGATTGTGGCTGGCGGTAGCGGCGCTGTCTATCCTCCAGGGCATTGCCTGGGAGTCACGGAGTGAACCCTAAAAGCGAAAGAAGGGCCACGAGGATGCCGACCTGCGAGGAAAGTTCAGCGACTCTCGCCTCGCAGGCCGAAGGCAGAATAAACTCAGAACATTGTATTTTGCATGGGGGCATCCGGCGAAGCCTGAGGGCACCGTGAATCCACAGAGCACGCAACGCGGCTCGCAAGGGTCCCAGTCAGCGCAATAACAGTGGGAAAGCCCTGCAGCACCAGCCAGGCGACTAGCCCACCCCGTCATAAGATGTTTCCTTCGACCTATACAAAACCGAAGTCTGCGCACAGAGGAGTTGCCGAGAGCTTCACGCAGTTGCTCGGCGTCCAAGCCCGACAAGAAGCCGAGAGGCACCTTCTCAAGGAGAAACTCTCTCAAGAGAACCTTGCAGGCATCAATACGCTCCGGTACTGAAGTCATGGCATCAAAGTCGACGAAGGGGCGGTCAGGGACCTGGTTCAAGCCAGGAAGAACAGGGCCCGCTTTCTTATCATTCAGACGAGTCCGTACCACCAGGGAGGCAAAGATAGGCGAATACCTCCAACAAGTGATAGACGTCCCAACCTGATCCATTGTGACGTACAGCTTGCGCAGCGGTTTACCCAGCATAAGGTATTCCTCATTCAAGTTGACAAGAACTTTCAGTCCAATATTGATGCCGTCGTGCCGTGGAAGCAGCAGCCCGAAGGGCATCGTCGGCAGCGGAGGCCATGACTGACACAGCTCCAACATGTCCGGCTCGGTTTCAGCATCAATTGGAATCCCTTGCATTTTGAGAATACCCATACATAACATCCGGATCTTCCACTGGGCCTCGCGAGCAGTCTTGATTTTACGCAGGAAGGGCGCTTTGTCCCCTGCAATAAAGATGAAGAGCAGCAAGGCCTCAATCCAAGTATGCCTCCTCGAGAGGGCTTCGGCTTTGCCTTTGTCAAATACGCACCAGTCAAGCATACCACGAAGAAGGTGGAAGTCTTCAATACAACCACCCCAATACCATAGGTTGGCTTTGACCGCCATCATGTCAGGGTCGATAGTCAAGAATTGTCCCCTCTTAAATACAACGTGGCCGTGAAAGGGGGAGCTGAGCAAATAGATATCTTCCGACTGAGCGTGCTGTCGATCAGCACGATCAGATTGTACCGGAGCATGATCAAGCTGAATATTGTAATCAATTGCACGGAGATCGCGGTGACGAGCTTCCCACTTACCCAGGAGGTCAACCGCTTGTCGTTGAATAGTACCCCATTTAGCCTGAAGCCTAGGGGGGAGGTCTTTACAGAACACAAGAAGGTGTTGAGAACAGGGGCTCCACTGAGACCAGGATTCCCAACCTTCTTCCCAGTGACTGCGCAGATCGGCCCAGAAAGGGCATTCCCAAAACAGGTGCGCCATAGTAGCATCATGGTGTCTGCATTCTCTGCACTCCGGAGTATCAGTGAACTTCTTGACAAATTGCGTGTGGAAGGAATTAATCCCGTTGATCAGCACTCGGATGAGCTTCTGTTGCACCGGGTGCCCTTCAGGTAATAAGTGAAGAAGTGCAGTGGTCGTGCTGAAATCGTGGTTGCCGACCCCCTTCCAGCAAGAGGAGTTGCATTGTTCCAACTCTGAGGCAATCTTGTTGCGGAAGGAAAGACTAAGAGCCTTGCTCATCACTTTGCAGTCGCCACTACCAAAGGTCCAAAGCAGCCTACCTTCATTGTTGCTAACATGCAAGTTGTCAACGTTCAAATGAAGCTGCAGATATTCCAAATCCCTTTAAGCTGGGAAACAGGGCCAATCTTTCTGATAGAGGGAAGGACCTTCTCATTGTGGCTCAAGTGCAGTTGGTGCTGTAGGCATTCGGACAGGGTCTCTCCTTTTGACTCATTGAGTGTGATCAAACCTAGCACTAAAGAAGTCGGCCGAGAACCCACGCAAAGAATCAGCAGGGCGGCCGCACTCATCGCTGGTTCGCTCCGTTCCATGGTATATGAATGTCATCTACCCAGGTATTGATTTCACTGATTGTGGGGGGGAGTGGATCCTGTGGTAAGTCGGTGACAACCCTGCATATAAATTGGGGTTAACTGGGGTTGGTTCCCTTCTTAGTTGCTTAACCCTAGTTTGTGTATATATATATATATATATATACGTTTCCCTAACTACTCATAAGTTTTACTGGTTATTTGTTCCTAGTTGCAGGTCCGTACCCACCCCAGACCTCCCTTCAGCTCGGCACCCAGCGCAGGTCCTCCACACCGCTTCGGCCCCGCAGCTGGCCCGACAGGCACAGCGCCAGCCGCTTCGCCGCCGGCAGGGCTGCGTGCAGCGAGAAGCGCCGCCTGCGGAAACGCTCTGAAGGGAGACTCTTCCGCCCAACGGGCCTCACAATCAAAACCTGGTGTTGGAATGGTCTACCCAAACCGTTTTGTAAAGAACTACTACGGCCGCAACTAATTCTGGCTGGGACTGTTCCTTACTAACCTTCACTTTCGCAGGTTTTGATTGTGACTCAGCGGAAGGTAGCGGGAGGGCACCTGGAAGATGATGTTCAATTTTCCCACCAAACAGAAGGCACCTCTGGGAGGGTACCTGGAAGAAGATTTTCCTGCGTACCCGGTACGCGTCAGGTGCCATGGCAACGTGAGAGTGAGGGGAAGTCATGGCAAAGTTGACATCGCATGAGATGCATAGTTCGGCCTGCTCAGCCCAAACATCGCCAAGCGTGAAACCCGGCAAAATGCAACTTTCACCTGCAGCTGCACTCCTCATGACACAGACACAGACAAAGACACAGCCACAGCCACAGACACAGACAAACAAACACAGACACAGACACAGACAAACAAACACAGACACAGACACAAACAAACAAACACAGACACAGACACAGACACAGACACAGACACAAACACAGACACAGACACCAACACAAACGCAATCACAAACACAATCGCAATCGCAATCACAAACACAAGCACAAGCACAAGCACAAGCACAAGCACAAGCACAAGCACAAGCACAAGCACAAGCACAAGCACAAGCACACACACACACACACACACACACACACACACAGCGCACCTCTCCCCCTGGCTTGGCGATTCCAAACCCGAAAGCCATCCACACGGCCAAACCCACGCGACAGTTCCAAAAGCTGGCCGCTTGCCCCCAAATGGTCGGCTCCTGGATTCTTTTGGAAACTCCACGCTTTTTTTCCGGCGGCAAAGCCAAGGACAGGGGCCGGCTTCCCATGAACCCCCACCGCACCGTTTCGCGCGCCGCAGCGCCAGGGCGTCCCCCGCCACCGAGAAGTTGCGCCAGGCGAGGCCCAGGCGCCAGTCCCCAGCCTGCGCGCTTCGAGCGCGCGGAGTGCCGGGCGCGCGGCAATGGGGGTGTGGTGCAGAAATCGCCAAGGGAACCCGGGGAAATGGAAAAGACGAAAACCTGCGGTGGCTCTGATTTGTTTGAGCTACCCAAATTTGGCGTTTTGTTGGACTTGGGTGGGGGGTTGTAGATGGAAGGCAACAGCTGGACCAACCTACCATCGGACTGCCAGATGCCCTCACACGGACAATTCACACGAAGGAGTGGCCAAATCAGCATTATGCTCCAAGAATTGTGTCCAAGTGCGAAAGAGCAAGGCAGAATGAGAGTCGCGCCTTGAGTAGGGCACCTGCTCTATCCCCTTCCTCCCAGCCCCGCTTTAAACCAGGCAAAACCTGATAGGCCGTGAATGGACCTTGCATAGCCCCTACATACCCCTTGGGCCCGTTAGATTTTGCCTAGAAAAGAAATGGGCCTGTAGTCTGCCAACGGCTCTCTGAAGCACTGAGCAGGTTGGCCAGCGGCATCACATCTTTGCCGAGCTCCTTTTGTTCAGCAATGGAACATGAGTGTTGTGGTGAGAGCGGCCGTCAAATCTGTGTATGCATATAATATGTGTTTGTAGTTGCTCCTCTTTTTTTTCGAGTTATAAAGAGAGAGAGAGAGAGAGCAAAGGCACACGTCAGCGGAGAGCCTTGCAATGATTGATATCGCTGCCTTCTGTTCACCACTCTTTGCTCCTTGCATATGTGGCGGGCGCCGGACTCTGGTCGCCAAAATCAACGACAAAAAAATGAAAAGTCACCAAACCGAAGTGCATTTTGCTGGATGTCGCCTCGTGCGCTGCCCTGCCCGTGCAGCCCGCGCCTGATCCCCAAAGAGGCCGTCCAGGCGCGACACCTCAGAGACACGCCAAAAAAAGCCGCGCTTCGAACTTGCTGCCACAAAGCGGTACAGACGGCACACAAAGTCACCCGTGACCAGCCAAGTCTACAGCAGGCCAAACAAAATGTGATTTCCAGCTAAGCAAACAGAGCCGGCTGAGAACAGAAGAAATAGCCGCAAAGAAAGACGCGGCTGTCATTGCACGAGGTTCTCCCAAAAGAGGCCATCCTACAGTAACCTCAAGCTTGCTAACTTGTGGCTAGCCGAGCCCAGCCTTGAAATACTGGTAGCCGGCAGCCAGCAAGGTGGAGACCAGCAGGCCCAAGTCTGAAGCCCTCACGGTCAAGCAAATCATCCGCAAGCCTGCAGTTGCCTCTCCACCGACCTGCAGTTCGCTCCATACCACATCCCAGGTTTCCACTGGATCATGGTACCCAGGCAGTGTCAAAGCGGTCGTTCCCAGGTTTCCACTCAAGCAGGGCACGGCAGTGGCCACTTTTTGGCGTGGTCCTTCGTTGCTTCCCCTGCGAAGGGGCCCGGAATTCGGCCGAGTCCGAGCCGAATGGAAGGCCTCAGCTCCACCTCCACGAAGCTCGGGGCGATCTCGTGCGCCTCGCGAGCCCTAAGCCTACAAGGCCTCACCGAAGCCTAGGAGGCCTCACCGTTGAAAAGCCCCGGGAGGGTTTTGTTTTGGGGGGGGGAGGAGGGGTAGTCTGGAGACTGGCTTCCAGAGGGCAAACTAGGAGTCGCTTTCGGCACAGCTGGATCGCCTGGATGGACTCCAGGAGGGAGGACAGGCAGTTGACCTCTGCGACTCGGTCTCTCTGCAAGCTCGGTGCTCGCAAGATCACTCTTGACAACAGGATCAAACCAAGCGGTCCTTGCACGGGCTCTGACATGTTGCAAATCACAAAGCTGCACAGGCGTCTGCGCTAGTCACGCGTGTCCCACTCGCCTAAGACCCCAACAAGACCCTGGAGTCCCATCAGCCCCTGGAGTCCCATCAGCCCCTGGAGTCCCATCAGCCCATCAGCCCTGGGCTGTGTTCAGAGGCTGCCGCAGTCGCAGCGCTGTGAACCCGCGCGCGGCCACGCAAGCGCCGCCTCCGATGCGGCACCCCCCCGTCCGCGGTGACGTTCGCGACATCGCTCACTCGGCTCGGACGGAGACTTGCCACTGAAATGGGCCGTGTTGAGCATACCCGCGTACTTGATGCTTGAGGTTCTTTGTCGGCAACCAACCAATTACCCTCCCACCTGATTTGCAAGGAACCACGGAGTTCGGGGGGTTCTGGTTTGGACCATTTTCCTTATTGAAGGGGCCGGGTCCGAAACATCAGGTCCCATGCAAAAAAGGGTGGGAGGGTCACGCCCAAGGACTTCCTGAAACAACTTGTCCAAGTCCACCTGCGCGCCTACGTCCACTTCCAGTGGAACGCCTCTGGCTGCCAGCAGCCGGCGGTCGTAGGCGCTCAGATGGCCTGCATGGAACACCTCGGCAATGAAAACCGAAACATCAAACCGAGAGCCGAGAGGTGTGGCAACTTTGGCAGTCCCAAACACATCACACAAACAATTCAAGGTTGTGCCCCCAAAGTACCCCTGGTCATAAAATTTCCAAAACGGAACACCACAAAAGGGGCATGCCTTCCGCAAATGAGGGTTTTGGGGGGTGCGCCCATGTTTATTAGTTTTCAGGAAATTGGGGTATTCCCCCTACTGTGAACCCCCGCCGGTGCAAAGGCGCCGCAGACAGCTCCATCTCACCGAAGACGTGGGTCAGCAGCGCGGCAGGAAGTTGCGTCCCGCCGGCGCGGCGGCCCTGGGAATAAGCCAACTGTGGGACCGTCCGCCCGGTCGCCTGGCGCTTCTGATGGATTTCGCCGTGCAAACCTTGGGCTCTTACTGACCCAAAGCACAGAGTAGAACCCCCCTAAATTGGCCTGGGGTGTTGGGCGCTGCTCAGTTGCCACTGAGATGGGCCCGAATTTTAATAGGGGACCCTTTGGTGGACATCATTTAGGTGCTGATTCACATCCACCAACCACTTTTGAGGTGATTCCCCATCAAAACTCATAGCCAAATGGTTTTCCAAGTCGGCTCCGACGAACCTCGCCTTGAAGATCCGATCCACCTCCGGCCTCGGGCCGCCCTCCGAGCGGTCATCCCGATCCTCGCGGAGGCTTACCGGCATCAGCCAGTGATGAAAACCAGCTACCCTCCCACCAACTAGCGTGAACCTGACAGGGGGGGTCCTGGAAGACCATGCTCCTTTCAAAGGGACCCGTTGTCAGATTCCATGCGAAATGTAAAAAAGGTGCGAGGGTATGACGCCTGGGGTATCAGGGCAAGGGAGATATGTCCATTCACGGGAACAATGAGCAATATGTTGCTCCAAAAAGTAGTCCGAAACATGGGGGTTGATGCCCATCCCGCCAAACAATTGGTGTCTTAACCTTGACAGTACATTTGACAGGAAGACTTCGCTGGGCATGCATCCAGGTTCTGTCACACCCGAGGAATACAAAAAGCGCCGCATCCAATCAGCTAGCTTCTGTGCAGTGTTTCAAAGGAAAACAGAGAGCAAGCCATCGTCCCACTGGTCAAAACGGGAATACGGGGATTGTCTCCCAACCCAAGCACATATACAAAACAGACTTGCATATCCCTGAATCTTCTGCTAAGAGCAAATGTTCAATAGATGTTGCTGCTATTAGACGCTTCCTCCACAAATGAGCTGTATAAAACCCTTCCCCGAAGCTTTCGAGGTAAGCAAGTTGCTTCTGGAAAGTGAGGAAGGTAGCTTGAGCGAGGGAATTCGCGTGCACGGTTTGCTAGTAAACGTGCTTGGAAACAACCACCAAAACGAGATCAAACTACTATGCGCAAATCAACAACGTCCCTTCCGCGAGCTTCCGCAGGGGAAAAAAAACTTCCGCGAACCTTCCGCGGCTGCAGTGCGGCGCTACCTTCTTTGTTGATATGTCAACATCTATACATGTTTGCTTGAGCGGGGAAAACATATTTGAAAAAAAAAAAAAGAGAAAAAAAGAAGAAAAAAAACGCCACTCAAATGGGGCCATCGGAGGGAATCTCAGCCAATCCAAGGTTGTTTAAGTGGACTCGCTTTTTGGGGACGTCGAGTGACCATTCGACAACATTGCGCGCGCGTGTGTGTGTGTGTGTGAACCTCCAAAGCATGTTGCCATCCGCTGATGGCTTCGCGTGTACATCTGCAACAACACTACATCTAATCATCTCATGTAGGGTATGCCAGAATCACTCTTAGATCTTCAAGATATGGGTGTCTTTTGTAAGAAAACCCCCCAACATGGCGACTGTTCTCCTTTTGGTGTCCCTTGGAGAAAAACCAAGAGAGAGAAAAAAAAGAAAGACAAAAAAAGAAGAAAAATAGAGAGAAAAAAGAAGAAAAAAAGACACACACATATCTTCACGCTGCTTCGTACCTGTGTCCCACGTCTCGTCTCCTGGTTGACCGCCAAACACGCGTCTAGCAGCGCCAGGTAGGCCGGCAGCTCGCCGGCTTCGGGCGAGAGAAGCCGCTCCTCGCACCTCGCTATGGCCCCCCCCCCTTCGGCGGGGGGTGGACCTTCCTCTTGGCCGCTTGGGGAAGGGGGGGGGGAAGGGGGGGGAGGGGGAAGGGGAGGGGAGGGGAGGGGAGGGGAGGGGGAAGGGAAGGTCAAGGGCGAGAGGGGAAGGAAGGGGAAGGGCGGGAGGGGAAGTGGGGGGGGGGGGGGTGGAAAGGGGGGGGGGGGAACACGGATGTGTATTTCTAGTAGCTCCAACTTTGATTGAAGCGCATTTCTAAGTGGGGCGGTCTAGGGTGGTGTTGCAGAAGGGAGCGTGCCCTTGAATGGTTCTCCCAAAAAGCTGAATGAAATCTAGACAGCTGTCTGGATGAGAGTATCTATGTTCAGGCTTCACAGGTTGCGTGCAAGCGACTCTCAAGGCGTCCCTGCATTTGTTGCGCTGGGTGCAATAGCATCCCACCTTTGCCAGATTCCGTTCTCAAGCTGAAATGTCATTGTTGTTTGTATTTAAAACAACGTGTCCTTACAGCCTCCAACCAGCCATCCACAGGCAGAATACAGATGAAGACACAACAAACGAGCCAACCAGCCATGCATCACAAAGACAAAACCCCTTTCAGGGCCGGTTTGCACGAGCAAAAAACAGTCGCACCTTGATGGCGGATGCACTGCACCGGCCTGCGAGGTCAGGCAAGTTTCAGTCATGCCAACCCGAAAGCCATCTTTGCCAGCAAAGTTTCGCGCCTAACTGGATTCCCAGTAAGAACCAAGCCAAAAGGGGTGCCCGCAAAGACACGCCCTGTTTGGCTGACAAGCCTCAATCCATGCCCCTCCCCACACTCTGGGACAGAGCATCTGAAGACAAGGAAAAAGCAACCGATGCCGCGAGCTCATCAGAGCTGCGAAACATTGGGGTGTATATGTATGTGTGTGTGTGTGTGCGTGTGTGTTTGTTGTCGTGTTTGCTTTCGGGAAGCTACAGCAAAGCTATCTTTGAAGGGGCTCCTGATTTGACTGTCTTGGGCCATGCCATGAAGAAAGCTTTTGTGGGTTTGGCCAGGCCTTCCAAGGTGCCGCAAGCAAAAGCCCAAGCATGCGCTCTCCATCTCCAGCTTTCACTTTGGGTCTTCGTGAGACTTCGGACAGGCAAACCGGTCGCACGGGCCCTTCTCGGGCCCTCCACACAGACCCCTTCCCTTGTGAAAGTCACCTTTCAAGTGGTAGGTCAAGTGATAGGGAAACAACCGATTCCATTTTCACTGTGAGCCGGAAGGGCGCTTCAGGTGCAATCCAGCAAGCAAATATGTAGAATGACATGGACAGATTTTCAACATGCAGGGAACAAGCAAGCAAGCAGAGCAAAGCAAAGCAAGCCGAAGCAAGCCAAAGCAAACCAAAGCAAACCAAAGCAAGCAATGTTTCTGCTGGTATTGCCCTTTGTCTGCGTGAGCAGCATGGCGGCAGCAGCTAAGCCTGCCATTGGCCATCACCTGCCAAAGCGTGGGGCCTCTCTCGAAACTACGGGTGAGCACTAGGGTGACAGCGGAACCTCTCTCAGTCTCGCTCCAGCTGCGAAAGAAAGCACAAGCACAGAGCTGCGCAAACAAGTACTCATTGCATTGCGTGGGCAAAAAACGTGTCTCCCGCGAAATTGGCATGGTCTCGTCTCTGGCAGTTGCAACCAAAGCTTTCTTGTAGAGAGTTCGCCTGCACAAGGCGCAAAACGGCCCTTTCCTGTTGGCTTCCTTTCCATACCGTCCCAAACAAGGGCTCCTCATGGTTCCACTCGTGACAATGGCTTTTCTCTCCGGAGCTGATATCCCACGAGTTGAACGAAGTGTCTTCGTGAGATCTGGGGCGCCCTCTTCCACATGACCCGCCCAAGCTCCTGCATCGCCTTGAACGTTAGCACCTCAGTTGACTTGAGAGGCACTCTGAACCTTGATGTTTCCTGCAAGGCAGCTATGCTAATTGCTGCAAATGACCCAAAACAAAATCCAAGTCAAGCGCCTCAAACAAGGAAACACATCGTCTCAGCCCCGCGCTCGCCCTTGTCAGGCCCAGCCGACTCGCGGTCAGGGTCGGCCACTAGGCTCTTGCAGAGTGGGCAACTCACATGCGCCTGACACCACTGCGTGAGACCTCGGTGGCACAACTACCAGTGTCACAAGGTTGGCCTACTGAATGCTCGGTAAAGAGCTGCCTAGTAGCTGCCTGTTGATTGCATTTGTGTTGTTGTTTGCTTTCAGTGGTGTTGACACAAAGACGTATCCAGTGCACTGGGTGTTCTCGTGTCTTCGTACACACCGATACCTATCGGTGACTTATCAATGTATTCGGCTTCTCTCCTCCATGAAAAAGCAAAATTGACTACCGCGTCCAAGGCACACTTCTCATGGAAGAAGTGTCTGCAGGGAGTGCGCACCTCGGTTCAGAAAGCAGCACTGCGAAAAGCAGCTCCCTAGTACACCTGCACTTCTCACATTCATGGATTGCCAACAAACAAGTCTGCTGTTGCATCCAAGGGTCCACCGGCAAGGACGAAAAGGATCCCAAGCATATGCTGCACTCCATTATACCTTGGCGCCCAAGACGAACTTAGCGGCCGAAACGCTTCGCCAAGACGATCTTTCCATGGACATGTGGGCCTTGTCAACATCATACCAGCCAGGAAACCACATCAACGGAGACCCCATTCAAATGGTCTTGCATTTCTGCTATACACTTCCAAAGAAGGGTCAAGCTCAAAGTGGGCATGTCACCAAAATTAGGGGGCCCTTTTGGGCCTTCAACTTTGCAGCAAAATCAACACGGAATACATCACTTGGGAGGGACCCTGATTTGAGGCATGAGTCGAATAAACAGTTGCTAACTTCGGCCAGCACATGAAAAGCCCAAAGAACAGCTCAGGTTGGCAGAGGCTGCAATGCATTGGAACTGATGTTGGCATCGCTTCAGACCCAGCAAGTGGCAGGAATCTGCCAGTGTCTTTGGACCGAAGTTTTTTCCCACCCGCCGCGGCGCTCCCGTCGTCCTCGTCGCGGAGCTCAGCGCTATCGTTGGGAATCTTCCTCGGCCCATCACCCAACACCAAGTAATCCTGAGACCTGAAGAATGCACCCATCTACCTTTCCTCCCACATAGCACCTGTATGAGGGGACCTGGAAGATGAGCTTTCTCTTGAAGGGCCCTCCGGTCAGATGCCATGTTAGTGGAAGGGAGGGTATCACCAAGTAATCCTGACGACCTGAAGAGGTCCCATGCCCCGTCAAACCCCATCAAACCCCATGCCCCGAAAAAATCCCAGGTCATCCAATCCGAATTGAGGTTGAACAAATATGATTATGTCCATCCACATGGTGAATAAGTCAGCAAGCTGGAGGTTAAAAATGCGCCGAAAGGCGGATCTGCTTCCTGCCTGCGTTTGCATGTTCAATGAACTCCTCTACCCGGTTTCTTCAGCACAAGCATTGCACAACGAGAAAAAAATGACTGCACAGCCTTCCTTGGACGAGGCGCGGGAGATTCTTGATCATATCAGCACCTAGGATGTCCAGCTTCAGTAAACTTGGAAAGCGCGTATATCCGTCGTGGCTTTAGAAGGAAGCAAGGCGGGGCCCGTGATCTACATCAACAAGATCATCAACTGCGCAAGCACTCACCTCCCTTTGCACAACTTGCTCACGCGGAGCAACCACCCAATCCTGCGCGGCACCGCACCGGGGTTTCATTTCCTGACGTGCAGTTATCTTCTGCACAGAGCACCCTCTGACAACACGCAGTTGTTTGAACTTCCTAATAGAAATGCATAAAGATATGTCACAGACCCGCCCTCAGTGCTGAAGCTAAAACCACATGGGGAAATACCACCTCCGTTGTGGTTTTCCCCCCTTGGTCATCCCATGTAAAAGACCGTTTGACCAGCCCCCACACCTTTCAAAAGAATCCGAGACTACAGACTGCGTGGTGGACATGTCTTGAAGCAACGCCCACCCCTCCCCCTTGCCCATGCGGCTCTGCCAGGCGGCAGCCACGCATGCCCTCGCCAGAGTTGATGGCTTGCAAAGCCAACAAGAGGCGATGCGCGAACGTCATGGCCGGAATCCCCACCTCAGCCGCGAAAGCCGCCGGCCGCGGCTACGCCGCGAGAGGCCGCCAGAGAATTGAGCCTCCCCAACTGGCTCCACGCATATTCTTCAATCTGAACTGGTGTGTTGTTTATTCCTGCTGCTGCCTTCGTTTAACTACTCGTTTCTTTCTTTTCTCCTCTGTTTCCTTTCCCAACAGAAACTGCGTGCAGTCGCTTGCTAGTTTGAAGCTTGACTCTCGGGAGCGGGTGCCTCTTTCCGAATACGTCAACTCCTTACCCTTTGAACCACAACACATTTCCCCGGGGGGGGGGGGGGGGCAGGCGAGCGAAGGTAAGGTCAAGATCGAAAAAGGGGCATGTATTCGAGGCAAAATCCCGATCACATTTCAAAGAGGAGTACCCGAACCTGACAAGGGCCCGGTCCCTTTAAAAGGAAAATTGTCTTCCAGGCCCCCCTGGGTTCCATGTTACTTGGTGGGAGGGTAGAGCCTTTAGAACTGCAACATGCCACTGACAGCAAGCAACGTGTTCATGCTCTCCCATTCTATGCACATCAGAATGAAGAAGTGCGCAAGGTGCTGTGCACAGACAGGGCTGGCGGGAAAAGCCGCCCACACAGGCAAAGCAACGCCTGAGACCGATTGACAAGCCTGCAGAAGTCCGTGTGATCCACCAAGATCGTTTTATGCATTCTTTGTGGCTGCCTTGCAATTCGCCCCAAAAACGATTGCGCTATAGTAAGAGTTTGCGGGCTCTCAAGCTGTGCGTCCAATTGGGAATCGTTAAGTTACTAAGTGACAGCTGGGAACACTTGGATACATACCACGACTTTGGGACAGGCGACAATTTGGGCACGCTTTAGATGACATATGCTGACTCAGTGCTTCAAAGATCTGCTCTCTTCATGTCCACATCTCACCGAGCCAAACATAGGATGAACTGAGGCTGCGACCACAAGATATGTGAAAGACGCGGCAATCCTCGCTCTTGTGCAGCTGTCAACACAAGGCTTGCTCTGAATCGACGCATTCAGGCCAATGCGGTGACTCACTGTCACTCGATGCACAGCAAGGAACAAAAGCGCCAGATGAATCTATTTACGAAATCAAAGGAGCATGAGGGGTCGCCTCTGTGAATGGCTTGCACCGAACAGCCTGGCGGTTGCCCCTTCCTGTTCGTAGAACGGCCTACATGGTTCATCGGTTCCAATGGGCAAGTGGCCGCGAGCAGCGCCGTACTCAAAGATTCAGGGGCAGCCGGGGGAAGTGGGCAGCGAAATGTCAACATGACAGCAGCGAAATCCAAAGCAAACCTCCTCAGATCAAGTTCCATGAGCCAAGCATCTGGAAATAGACGTAATCGCGGACATCGTAGTAGAGCCCAGGATTCGTCTCTGGGCAGGTCTGGCAGCCCTGGATTCGTCCATATGAATCCAAAAGCAAAAGGCACCCTGATGCAGGCCTTGAGCAAAGAGTAGCCCCAATACAGAGTCATCCAGCCAGGGATCATTGAAATCAAGGTGGATGATACCCACACCTGGGCGAGCACATTCTGTCTGTGTTGATTGCAAACAGCTCTCTCCTGCTCTCTCTCTCTCTCTCTCTCTCTGTCTCTCTGTCTCTCTCTCTCTCTCTCTGTCTGTCTCTGTCTCTCTCCTAATTCCTCCCCCTTCTTGTCTCCTTGTGTTCTTCAACCAACCTATCAATCTTTCGTATTGCCTCACTCCGGACAAGCTGCCGATCGTGTGGACATTCCTCGATTTTGCATTCGGCCTCGATCGAGCATACGCCCCGCCCCTTACATAGAACTCGCATGGCCGAGATCCGTCGGCAAAATACTTCCCACTTCACGCCAATATGCCATTGCTCCACCTATGCCTCAGTTTCATGCCTATGTTCCTGATTTGAGGGCTGCTTACAGCCGCGATGGGCTAAACTTATGAGCCCTATCCAATTATTGGGACTTGCCGCAAGGGGCTTGGGACATGGCCCGGGCACATCTTGCAGAGAGACTGGGAGCGGCCCTAAGGATCCGGTCCCGTTCCGGCCACCAGCTTCCCTGTTTGAAGCTCCGTGTAGCCATTAGCACGAAACATTGAAACTGCGCGCTGAGAGCAGGCAAGTGGCTTACTACCTGCTGGGAAATGTGAGAGGTACAGGTGCCGACGCAAATCGTCACCAGCATGTATGTCTTCCTCAGGACAAATGTCCAAGGCATACGCAACAACCTTTGGCAAGCATACAGGCGCCAAGCCCACAAATTGTCAGACTGCCATCAGGCAAGTACTTGGCTGTCTGACGGCACGACAACAAGGTCACCCGGCCACTGGCTCTACCCGTCAGCGAACTGAGGCCGGCGCAAATGGGGCTGGTCACACTCAATATGATTGTAAAGGATGGTCGCATAAAGAGCTCTCCAGAAAAGAACGATCATAAGGAGCGAGCCGACCTTGGATGTTCAAAGCCATCGGCATGTTCGATTGAAGACGCGGCGTGAAACAAATGAGCTGCGGTGTCCCAGACGTGACTGGATCCCACTCTGGCGAAGGCCGCCAAGACACGAGCACCCCGAGGATGGACACAAAGCAAAGCAAGACCTGAGCTTTGCTGAGGCAAGCCGCTTGGGCCTCCGCTTTGGGAGTGCCGGTTCTACTCTCTCCCTCTCTCTCTCTCTCTCTATCTTTCTCTCTCTTTCCCTCTTTCTTTATTTCCCAGACTGGCATAAGGGTCTGGATCGGTAACAAACTAGCTAGCTAGCTAGCTAACTAATTAACTAACTAGCTAAGTCCCTGATTGACTGACAACTGACTAACCAGCTAGCCAAGTCACTGACTGACTGACAACTGACTAGCTGACTAGCCAAACAACTGACTGACTAAACCACTGACTGACTGACTGACTGACTGACTGACTGACTGACTGACGGACGGACGGACGGACGGACGGACTGACTGACTGACTGACTGACTGACAACTGACTGGCTGGCTGCCTGCCTGGCTGGCTGACTGATTGATGACCCAATCAGCGAACAAGCTAACTCAACCCACTAACGCATACTAACAGCAGGCAAGTCAAACCTTCAGACATCGAGTACTGCGTGCCTTAGGCCTCCAAAGCACAAAGTCGCGAAACATATGCTCCCCCCCCCCATGGTGATTTTTTATGTCTCCTCCACGACTCGACCATGTTACTTCAAGGAGGCACGAGTCGTCCGCCCTCAACCGGACCGTTGGAAACAGACCTGCGCCAAGACCCAGAGAAACCAATCTGCGTGAAACGGTCGCCCGCACCAAAAGGGACTCTAAAAGCCCCCTGCCAGATCCTGTGTTGATTGGCCCCACATCAAGTAAACTATTATCTATGTATATATACATGTATATATATATATTATAACGACAGCCACCTAAATAATCCGCCGACTCCTTTTCTGCAAGGGCGAGGGGCACTGGAAGCCTGGTGAGTAGGAAATGCTGAAGGCAGGATCGTCATGCTCATCATCGTGGTCGTCGTTGTGCTTTGCTGGTGATGCTGCGGATACATAATCATCAATGTCATCATGACCGTCATTGTCATCATGATCATGGTGATGTTTCTTTTTTGTTGTTTTTCTTATGCACGTTTCGAATGTCACGGTAGACACCCCTTGGCGTTGCTGGGGATGTTCGTCATCATAACTATCATCATCTTGATCGGCACCAGCTTACGCTTCGCCGGTGATGCTGGGATCAGCATCATCATCATCATCATCGTCGTCGTCGTCATCATCATCATATTCATCATCATCATCATCATCATCATCATCATCATCATCATCATCATCACCATCATCATCATCATCATCATCACCATCATCATCATCATCATCATCATCATCATCACGACTTCGGAGGCCCAAAACGCGTTTCTCTTTTGGCGTACTGGACAGCATCCCCAGCAACGCCGGCATCGATCACGTGGGCTACGCTGGCGATGCGAAATGAAGGGGCAAGGGAAACAAGTGGGGTATGGATAATGAAGGGAAATGAAGGGACACATAAATAAAACTGAACACAAATGAAGGCAAATGAAGGAAATGGGAAACTAAGGGACATGAAGGCAAATCCAAGGAAATGAAGGGAAACGGACTTGGAGATGAAGGGAAATAACGGAAAATGAATAGACATGAAGGGAAGCCAAGGGGAATGAAGTGAAATGGAGGGAACTCAAGGGAGATGAAGGGAAATGAAGGGAAGTGAAGGGAAATGAAGGGAAGTGAAGGGAAATGAAGGGAAGTGAAGGGAAATGAAGACCTAAAGGGCACTGAAGAGAAATGAAGTCAAACGAAAGTGAAGGGAAATGAAGGGAACTGAAGGGAAATGAAGGGAAGTCAAGGGAAATGAATGAACGGCAATGAAGGGAGATTGGAAATTAAGGAAAACAAAAGGAATGAAGGAAACTGAAAGAACTGAAGAGAAATGAAGGGAAGACACACGAAGGGAAATTGAATGGAAATTGAAGGGAAATTGAAGGGAAATTGAAGGGAAATTGAAGGGAAATTGAAGGGAAATGAAGGGAAATGAAGGGAAATGAAGGAAGCGAAGGGGAATGAGGGGCAGGGTTCCCGGTGGACGGCTGTTTCGCGTCGGCATCCAAAATAAGAAGAATCAGACTACGTGCACCAGGGTCAAAAGCTGAGACTCCCCGAAGGACAAGTGGGATCGAATAGACCCTCTGTCAAACTCCATGTTGGGAGGTCACCAAGCCGTTTCAGCGCCGTGCGGAAAAACTCTTTGACGCATTCATATCGATCTGCGCCGTCCCCCCAAATCGGCGAGCAGCCAGCGGCGCCGTACATCTGCCCATGATGTTTTGCAGCGCCTCGATGCGGCAAGACGCGTGTGACGCGCGTGGGATGCTGGGGATGCCCATGTCGTGAAATGGATGAATGCTCTTTCTGAGAACTGCAAGCAAAGAACTTCAAATCAACAAAGTGGAATCTGCTTCATTCCTTTTTTTCTACTGAGAAGCCCTCTTCTCTTAGTCATCTGTGACTGGGAGAACCCCGAATACCAAGAATGGTGGTGTGTATCCCTTTGAATCGGCGAAGAAAAACAAGTATATCAAGGCACCTGCTCCAACGGTGTCCTTTTTGCTGCTTGCTTCAATCTGTAATGCGATTTCTGGTGTCTTCCAAAAGCCAGGCTGGGGATACATCCTTTTGATTCACAAGCTCACAAGGTACCGCCTCCCACAAAGCACAGGAAGTCGCTTGAGCAGACGCCCGGGCTCTTTGTCGCCAGTGCAACGGAAGCGCAACACATCCCACGGCGACGTGCGCTCAGCCGCAGCTGTGAGCGCTGGCAGTTTGAAGTTTGGCTGGAAATCCTGGAAAAACCGCGCCACGAACTGCGCTCAACTGCGCCAGCCACCCGTCCAACACACCCCCAACACATGCTCCCAAGGCAACAAACACGGCGCCGTTGACATGGGACACAAACCTCAAATTGCGGCGAGCAGTGAGCATCCCTGGCTACGAAGCGAAGGCGGCGGGGCATGGCAGCTCCTGTAGCAGGCGTGATTGTCGGGCGCGCGCAAAAATAAATCGGAGGCTTCTCGCGGAAAGGCAACGGATGGCAGGCCTAGCATTCTCAGGTCACACGGACTGCCAGGATGGCCCGTGCTTTGTATGGCTCCGTGACTTTGCGCGGCTTTTGAGTCGTTTGAGTTCGATGGTGAGAAGCTTTTGGAAGATTTGCTCCAAGATCAAGGTGTCCGGACCCCCAAAGCCCCAAGCCCAGCACCCCGGAGACCCAGACCCCGCTTCAATTCAAGGTTGCACTTTGCACGCGTTGCGCTGTGCCCAGGGGGTCCATGTAATTGAAACAACATGTCCAACCTGACACAACTTTACAAACCCTGATGACAGGCGCAAACTCAGTCGCCTCCGCTTTTGCTTCGTCTTCCAGGCTCACAGGCCCCCTCACCCCCCCCCCCCCCCCCCGCGACTCCAAGCGCCTGCACCCCCAGACCCGAGGTCAAGCCAGCAGCCGCTCCCATCCCCGGCCTCCTCCCGGAGCCGCTGCTGAACGTTGGCGGAGTCCACCTGCCGACGTGAGTCCGAGGCGAAACAGGCAGCCAGCCGAATGAAAGCACGCCCAAGACAAGCAGTGCAAGCGATCCCGCTGCTGCCAAAGGAAGAGGATCTCCAAGCACACAACTGATCTTGCTAACATCGGCGTGGTGTGGTGACCATGCTTTGCGACTCTTGGCAAATGATGCTCTTCTTCATTCCACACATGTCCTGGAAAAATGTCCCCTTGGGCGATCTGGACCACCTTTGGTGTCCTTGTCCACCTGGTGATAGCCGCTGATAGCAATGGTTTGAGATTGAATCGCCGCTCAGGTCTTTTTGTTCCTGAGCAACTCTCCCGCGCCAGGGCCTGCAGCTTTGTCCCAGATCCAGCCTTCACCCTCCATCTTGAAAATGCTGCCCTGTTGGGCTCCCGAAACAGCACGGCCTTTTTCTTTGCCGCGGCGGGAAAGCGTAGTGCCCCTTTCGGCAGATCTGCATCTTTACAAAGTGGAAGAGCACTTCGGTCGCCTCATGGACCTGATGGCCTTCCCTTCACTGCTGAGGGCCTCCACCTTCGGGGAGTGGCCCTGCAGCGCAGGGGCCTTGGCCAAGGCAGAACTAAGGAGCTCAGAGATAGGCAGCCGCTGTCTTTGACCTTGTCACAGCCACGCAAAGCACTTTCAGGCGTCTCAAGAGCGCAGACTGCTGTCTGTGACCTCCTGTCAGCACCATAATCCACACGCGTCTGAATTTCCTTGGCAATCATGTAGCGCCGGATTGGATCAAGCACCAGTTCAGATCGGTGATGGTCGGTTGCATGGGCAAGGCGTCCTGCTCGAGGGGGGGTTTCCCGCTGTGCAGCAAAATGCCGCAAGAAAATCCTGGATTCCTGTCGTCAAGATCAGCGGAGTCCAAGCTGCTACAGAGTGCGCTGATCTTGACACGGGAAGCACACAATTAAGTAGGAGTACTGCCCCAGCATTTTGCGAAACCAGCCGTGCCGCGTCAGTTCTCGAACGACCAAGGCAATGCGCCGCAGCGCAGCTTCGCTTCGTCAATAGCAGGGGAACCCCCCAGGCAGTCTTGTGTGAATCAGATAAGAGTGCCTGATGGCGCCAAAGGCGCGCGTGGCTGCAATTGTTTGTTTGCTGCGCCTTTTGAAATTCTTGAAAGGATTTCCTCATGTCAAGAATTCCCTGGCACCAATCAGGGCAATTGGAAAACATAACATGCCGAACGGCGTGGCTTTCTTGACTCCCTGCTCGCATAAGTCTGTCGTGTCTTGAAGGAATGTAGTGATACCGCAATTATGCAGTGGAAAATATCACGTTTTCTGCTCAAGCACTTTCAGTGCGGCGAAAAGTGATAATGCTTGTGCAAGATCGGTGACTGGATCTCTAGATGCTTACTTGAAACATCAGCTCACCGGGCTAGAAAAGTGACTGTTGAGTTCTAAAGGGGGAATAATTGAGAACCCTGTCCGGATGATAGGTGCCTTTCAGCAATATCTCCGAGCCGACCTGCACAGCTGCATGACAGCGAAATCAGTGACCGTAAAGAGAGCAATGCGCACATCTTACACAGTCTGCGAGCGGACAAACGACCCTTCACGTCTTCGCGCACAGGTCAAACTCAAAAAGCAGCTCTTCAAAACCTGAATAAGAAATACTTGAGACACTTTGGGCGGTTCAGGCTGGGATCTGCATGGCTTTCGCGGAGGTAGGCTCCGCAGCCTTGGACTCCGAACTTGCAGCGCGCGCCAGGAGAAAGACACCGCCGCAGCCGAGGCCCAGGGTTGCAATCACAAAGAGGAAGAGCGTGATGCGTGGGCGCCCATCATTTGTGAAGCCCTCCTACGTCGACGCCGGCAATTGAGCTCAAGGCCAAAGGTTTACAAGATGTTAAACCGAGAAAGGCAGCCCTTGACCTGACAGGGCACGAAAGATGACACCAGGCACACGTGGGCCACATCCAAAATTTATTCTGCCCCAAGAAGACTTGAGACATTTAGTGAGTCCCCCCTGGTTTTGTGCGGGAAATCTTGCGAGTCACCCATGTCTCTCCCACATGAACCACAGACTCCAGACTATACACTGGTCATTGGGCTCAAATCTCACACGGCTGCATTGATGCATGGTCGTCAATGCAAAGACCCCTCACAGGGTTTACAACCCACATGACTGGATGTTCAAAGCCTCTGTTCTCTATGAGACCAAACGAACTTCATGTTGAAGACAAAACACCTCTGGCGACCGTCTTTCCGCTCCTCGATCAAGAAAATGATGTTGAGCACAAGGTAAATGAGCGCAATAGCCGCCCAGCAAAGCCAAAGCACCGGCATCATCTTCGGAAAAGAAGCACCACCGCACCTCAAACCCGCCCAAATGCCAGCCCAAATCATAATGGCCACGCTCCCAATGATGCGAAGGATTTCCACCTGGTCTGTGGCAACATGGACCATAATGTCCAAGAACTGGACCACAATGCATGCAATCAGGAGGCTCACCGCCACTTTCCCCAACATGGTGAGAAGGTCTCTCTGGCGGATACTGATAAACCGAGAAGGGCTGCAGGGATGTAAGCGGTCAAGTTTTACTCACATGGAGTCCCACGAAACCACAATCGATATAGCTGCCCGAAGCTGCAAAGCGTATCACAGAGCGGCCTGTCTTCTGGTTGGCTGCCGCTCCAACAAAGCATCGGCTCCTTCGGGCACTGGGACAGGCGAATTGGATCAGGGCCTGCCAGCCTGAAATCCTCAGCCTTCATAAGATCTCGGCACCGGGTGGAGGCAGCTGGAGGGGTACGAGGGCCCTTTACATGCGGACGGTCATCTCCCCTATCACCTTTGTCAAAGGCAAAAGCATTACAGCAAATACACAACAATGTGCGCCAAAATGAAAATATGTGTTTTGGCCATGGCTATGCTTTCCTCCATAGGAATTCTTATACCATTTGACCCCAAATGGCTACTCAAGCAAGCTCGTCTTTGGACCATGGCAGGCGAATCGGCCCCCGCCTAAGCCAGAGCCCTCGCTGACAGACCGCGGGGGGGGCCGCACGTGCGCTTCCGACACGAAGACGCCTCCACCGGAAAAGATGGCCTGGGCCGCGGACGGAAGGCCGGGGATCGCGCAGACCCCAGAACAGCAGCCCGCAGCTGCAGCTTTCGCTACAGAAACTGGCGGCCACGTGAAGTCAACATGACTTGTCTAGGAAAGAAACTGAAACATCACCTTGGTCTGATAGCTCCTGGACAAACCTCTGACACTCAAGGATGGACTAGACCACTGGAACTTCTCAGTCCAGTCGTTGAGCGCATGCAAGGCAAGCAGTCACACTCCCAGCGTAACCGCTCCATCCAAGCCGCCGAAGCGCTGCGTGTGAAAGAGGGCCGGGGCGATCCCTGCCAAGTTAGTCACATGCAAGCCGCGCGAGCCTCTGAGATCTGCTGGCTTTTCCGTCTCGCTTGCACGCGGTACCGGCTTGAACCACATTGGGTTCAAGTTCGGAATTGACCCGTTGGCACTCGCTCAACCGCCAGGTAGGCTTGCAATTTGAAGTTGACCGAGGATATTCGAGCAGAACTCTGGATTCTGGCTGCGGGCCAGGCGAACCAGAGCTCTGGTGGGCCGAGTTCAGCTCCGGACCGGCTGGAGATGGGGTAGATTGCAAGATGCAAACGCGAAGGCTCATCCGTCCGTCAGACCATCGGCCTCTCTTCTCGCAACGGCCCCGAATGCCGAAAGATCGACATGCCGAAGGTCAAGGCCATGAGCAAGAGGGAGGGGTGGGGTTCAACCTCTCCAATGCTTGGACGCGTAGCGGCAGGCACGGATGGGACGCCCCGGTCAGCAGCATCTGCGCCCTGAGCAGGCCACACCGCTTGGCCCGCCGCCTCGCCTGCCGCAGCACAGCAGGGGAGCCCTCTGTGGGGCAATGCATCCGAGCCAAGGCCCGGAGCGCCGTGGCCGGGTCCACGGCCCGCAGCATGAAGCGGTCCGCCTCCAGCTCGAAGGCACGGGAACGCAGGCCCAGGACAAGCCAAAGGCCCAGCAAGGACAGGCCCGACTCCACGTCCAGGTCATCCCACTCCCCATCTTTGTCGCCCTGAAAAAGACCCCTTAACAGCATCAGGCGATACCAATCAAGGATCAAGAAGCCCCTCTTTTGCTGGTGGCCCGCCACCAGGTGGCCCAACTCATGCGCCATCACCGCCCGCACCTCCTCCTTCGAGAGCGTCTCCAACACAGCCCTGGAAAACCAGAGCCTTCCGCCCTCACCCACCTGCACAGCCTGTGCCAGCATCCCAGGGTGCTCGCAGATGAAGATATCCGGACTTGGACTAATTCCGAAGCTTTTGCAAAGGTCCTGCACCAATTGCAAGTCAGAAAAGCTGTTCAACTTACTTGAACCTCAGAAGCAGGCAAACAAGAATGTGACCCAAAATCCAGCTGCCAACTGCCAGTGTCTCCTCCTTGCAAAGGTTCAGCCACTGAAACTCCGGGCAGCCAGTGGCATTCACGGCATCCCGCCGCAGCAAAGCCTTCAGCTTTTCAGTGGAATCCACCAGCACCCGCAGGACCAACCTAGGGCAAGGCAGCGGTGAACGAGCCGAAACGATCCAGACATTTTCTCCAAAGCGGCCTCCACCTTGCAGTGCCTTGCAAACCTTGAAAGTCTCCAATCAACTAATCAACTCTCAATTTTGCGTGATTCTCTTCATGTGAACAATTCCCTTTGGCGATGTGCGCAACTCGAGATCAGGATGTGACTGACCCTTCCAACCTGTCCGGGCCCCGGAGAGCATTGAGGCTGGCCGGCTGCAGCTCTGTCCGGAGCACCAGCGTCAAGCACACCAAAACCAGCAGCCCGCGCAAGGCCATGGCGCTCGGAAGCTTCTGGTGACGCACGTTGGCTCTCTCTAGCCCGCTTCCAAGTATCAAAACAATCCGCCGACCCCATGCCTGGTCCAGAATGGACCATGCTTTTGGTATGGGGGCGATGTGTTCTGTGTTGCTTTTGTTGATATGTTTTCTATAGGTTTGATGTAAATATGTTTGTGTAAATATATACATATATATATATATATATATTTCTATGTCCCTTGGATCTCTGGATCTCTGGATGTCTGGATGTCTGTCAAAAAAAAATCCGTGTGGCAAAGCAGCCATTGCTTAGAAGAGACCCGAAATATATTTCACATGGCACACATTCTGAGCCAGCAGCAAGGTCACGCATCACTTTGTATGATCAATCCATTCTAAGCCATGCAAATGCCAATATAATGTCTACACAAGAACCATTCAAACCGCGGTGTTCAGGGCAACTTATTGCCAAAACGATGAAGAAGCAGTCTCTTCCACAGTAGGCTCTCCGCCCCAGTCCTGCGTGGGCATGGTGGCTCTGGCACGGAGGCCGCACACACCTCAGCCAAACAGCATCCCAAAGGTGTGAGGCTGCTGCCAGTATGGTGATGTCGTCTTGCAACATGCGAGGGCACCCACCATTTACCCACAGCACCTTTGAGTCTCAAAGCCTGGCTTGAGGCACTGGACACACTCGACCAGAGGTTTTGTACCGCCCAAACCTGCGGGCTCCGCGAAAAACCGCTCGGCTCAGCCGCCTCCAAAGGGCCCTCGAAGTCGGATGCCAGTGAGCCGCTGCGAATTCGGAGGTAAAGTGTGGCTGGGACTTGACTTGGGGAAGTGGGAGCGTGCATCTCAGTGTTGCTATACATGTATATATATATATATATGTATATACATATACATATACATATATATATATATATACATATACATATATATACACATACATATATATATATATACACATATACATATTCAAATATATATATATATATGCAAAAGCTCGATCGTGCTCCATGCTCCGTCTGTCATGATGTCTTTCATCTTTCAGTCATCGCATGCCGAGCTAAGCAAGAACCGGCGCAGTGCAAATGCAAGTGCAACAGCTCAAGCGCACCCTGAGACGCTCCCGCAAATGTCTCTGCCGTGCCAATCAACATGCGACGTGGCAGCACCCAGTGACCTCAAACTGGGCCTGCTGCTTGTGACCGCTTGCTTAAACGAAGTGATCGCCCGCCATTGTTGGCACTTCAGCTCAGGGCAGACAAGCCTATATTTGCAAGATATGCCACTCATACGATATTACCGATGTTTGGGGATGTGCTCTCAGACCACCAAGAAATTATAACAGCTAACTGGGCGCATTGCTGCGAGAAAGAATCTTACAAACAGTGACTGCCAGGGGGGTCTTCACTGCAAGCTGCGCACTCCTCTCCCTTTCTCCGCGCGCGCAGGGATCCGAGACATACCTGCATGCAAGCTGCCCTGAGCTTCTGAGAGCGATGTGGGACTTTCCAGCAAATGCAAGATCGATATCCAAAGGGAGGTGTTGCGATTGATCCCTCCAACCCATCCCCCTTCAGCCTGCCAGCAGAGCATCCGGAAACACAAAGTCCAGCTGCCGCTGCAACTGCTCCACCAGCAAATCCTGTAGCCCCTGCCACTCCTCCTCTCGCTCCTGCAATTGAGCAAGCGAGGGTCTCACAGCCTCTCGGGACACGTGCGGTTCCAATCCCGGCCTATCTATCTTCCCTTCTAACGGCAAGTTTATCTAAACAAATCGCAGCTCTGTGTATGGCTCTTTTCTCTCCTTTCTCTTTCTCTTTCGCTGTCTCTTTCTCCGTCTCTTTCTCTTTCTATTTCTCCTTTCTCTTTCTCTTTCTCTTTCCCTCTCTCTCTCTCTCTCGCTCTCTTTTTGCGCGTCTCTTCTCTGCTCTGTCTGTGATAGAGTCTCCCCCGCCCATTTGCGGACATCCTCTCACGGTAGTCGCTCCTCGCTGGAGATTTGTTGCAGCTGCCTCAAAAGCTGCCTGCAGGCAATGCAATGAAAGTTTGTGGGCACTTTGCATCCGCAAGACAGTAGAGTGTAATGCGAATCATGTCAGCGATCCCGCTAGGAGTCCGGTCAACTTGAAGGCGGTGCTCCCTCCCTCTCTCTCTCTCTCTCTCATCTGCAGCCCGCAGCCTCTGCTCCAGCGGATACATCTTGTTGGCTCGCGCCACACGCGCCTATCGCAAAGACTCACAGGACAGCGCCAGTCTTTGCACTGCCGGCTTCGCAGATTCAAGAAGCGATGAACTCACTCTGCGACCAACTTGAAACCCAGCTGCACGGGTGTTTCACACTGGCACGGTTCGGGAGCTGTCAAAGCTGCTCCCAAAAGCTTGACAAATGGCCAACAACAACAAAACAAGTCCTGAACGCATTGGCCAAGACAAGTCCAAACAACTTGTATCCAACTAAAGTCATACATCGCATGAAACCCAGAAACTCCGGACTTCAGCAGTTAAACTGCTAAGAAGGTAGACGCTCGCAGGCCTGCAGCCGATGGTTGAAGACCTGCGGATCCTGCTGCCATGGCAGCAACGAAGACTCCACCTCAGAAGAGCGCAGCAGCGTGAGCCTCAGCCGGCTTGGCACAAGCAACGCACGAAAAGGAATGGCCCAACGGAGACTGGCCACTGACTGACTTAGAGCGGATGAATGCATCCTGGAAGGATTGCGAAGGCAAATGCGCGATATATACATATATATATATAAGTAAATTATCGTGTCTTCCTGGATTGGATGTTGTTAGTCTTAAGATTTTGAAAGGCAAGAGGCGGCCATGAAAATCACTTCTGTACCATGGGAGGAGCCTGCATCCTAGGCCCCATCTGGCCCTCCTTGGCCCATTGGTCCTCAAACATGATAGCAAATGTGGTGCTCCCATCATTTCTTGGCCGGTGGTTGCCAAGAGGTGCACTCCGATTGTCCAGTTGTGGCACTTTCCCCTTGCCCGCCAGAATAGCAACTGGGAGATCTTCATGGCCGTGTCCCTCTCCACTTTCCGTGCTGACACAATGTGGGCGATGTCCACGGGCCAAAAGCGTTGCGAGGCGGGTTTGGCTTTGGGCCCTTGCTGGGGAAGTGGAAATCAAAGGGATGCCAACTCAAATGGGACTGGAGATGCATCAACCAACAAGCGCGGCTGGGCTCCCGCGCTGCCAGCCTCTCTCCTCCAGCTGGCGCAAGCGCAGGCGCGCGGCCGCGCGGAGGGCCGTGGAGCCCGGGTCTTGCAGGAAGTCCTTGGGCGACAGCACCTGGGGCTTTGAGCCGTTGCCCAGCCGCCGGGTCGTCGGCTCCGGAATACGTGGGAGCCTTGCCTGAGAGCCTGGTACGCTTGGGGGGTCCAACCAAAAAGCGTGTGCCTATGAGATTTCAATGCAAAGGTTACCCGAGGAAAGCAACGTTCATGAATCCTTCAAGTGACTATGCTGAGCTCCAATACTCTGACGAGAATGATGAGAAGGCTGCCTCCATCAACTCTGCCCCCACGGGCTTCAGCTGAATAAGAGAAGTTGGAGTTGTGAAGGGTGCGTTGCCTTCAGCAAGGAGACGCATCAAGCGCTCAGTTGATGTACGGGAGGCGTCACTTGGGCTGCATTTGGATGAGTCGAACAATCAGATCCTGGGTCAGTCGCCTGTGCTGCCCGCAGGCGACTGAGCGCTTCACAAGGACGCCAATGCGGAAGAAAGGATGGCCCCAGTCCACGTCATAGCAGCCTCAGCTCTGCTGTCACTGTCCCGTCCAGCCATTGCTCAGGGCCCAAAACAACAATTGCCCGGCGGTTTTGCACCAGCCATTTCTCATGCAGCATGAAGCAAACGTGCAAATCTCGCCATAGGGCCTGATATGGTTGCTTGATCCGCTCCAAATAAGATGCTTGGTTTCTGGTCCCAGGCGGATCAGGCGGAGCTGTTGAGAGAGCCTGGCTTTCAAAGAGTTCAAATGAAATGGCTATGGGTCAAAACCCCGTACCCCCAGTGAACATCCCAATCCCCACTAAAATAGACTAAAATGGCTGGTGCACCTACCCCAAAATGGTACCATTGGTGTTGACCCCCGGCCAAATGATCTGTGGAGATCTTCCGCAAGGTAACTATCCTGGTTCTGCGTGGGGCTGCGACTGCCAATCACGTCAAAAAGCACAGTATCTCTCGCCTTCTGCGTACCGCGTTTCTCCTTTTGCAGCCTTCGGGGTCACACGAACGAAACATATGGGTTAGATCCAAGAAAGCACCACACCCAAAAACAGATCCGACTGCTCCCGACTGCCCCCCAAACGCAAAAAAATCCCTCCCCTGCCGCCCGCTACTTACCTCTTGCCGTACGCGGTACCTTCTTTTCCCGGGCGAGCGGCCCACGGGCCACTGGAGCTCAAAGCCCCCGGTGCCGCGGGTGGCCTCTCCGGCCGCCGGGCCCAAGGGGTGCGCCGCCTTCCGCAGCACCGGCGCACAGCTCAAGGCCTTGAGAGGAGCAAGCGGCCGAGCGGAGACGGATGGAGACGGATGGGTTTTTTGTTTGAAGCACGGGCAAAGGGAGAGGCAGAGGAGTGAACCTAATAGACACCTGACTCGAAAACTCTGTGGCCCTTTATGGTTTGGCCTAGGTGAAGGGACAGATTGAATCGAGGCCCGGCCGCTCAACCCGGAACCGGACGGCTCACCGAGTGAGGCGTCACCAGCTCCCACGTCAGGCCCCGGCAGCCAGTACGGCGCCCAGCAGCTCCTTCGCCTTGGAGAGGTGTCGCTCCTGAACCGGAGGCTGTGGCATCCCATGGGACCTTCAGCACCTGAAGTGGCTTTCCCTCGGTGTTGGGTCGCAATGGCTTTTTCCTGGTTGTGGGTGGCGCCCATCTAAAACAATGGTCAACCCCAAAAAGACTCATCTGTTTGATTGAAATTCTCGTCTCAAAGGGGACACGTGTGCGAGGTACGGCATCTGCTCAGACCGATTGAGCCAAGGACACATCCTTCTTGGGTCCTCTTTTCTTGCCAAAAACAGAACCTCTCAAAAGATAATTCTCAGTATTGGTGGGAAAAGCTGTCAACCTTCAGCCTAGTCGGAAAGGATCAAGCAGTGCGCACGCAAGCAGAACTCGCATCTGCCTAGTATCGACAAAAGGCAAACTCTCAATCTGCAAGATTCCCTCCGCCACATCCTTAACAACTCGCGCCTTGCCGTGCCGGTGCATCTCCCAGTGCACAGCTAGCTCATCCAGCATCGAGCGGCCTGGCCATGTTGCCATCTCGGGCAAAAGCAATTGTGCATGGCACTCAGCAAGTACTGTGTCGCACATATGCTGCACCTTGATACACGCTGAACCTCCCGTATCTGGTGAGTGGAGCTGCTATGATATTCTGCTGCCATTTCGGGCTGTCCGGACTTTGTGCTTCGAGTTTCTCCCAGAATTCGACGTCAGCGCAAGCACCCGCCGTCCCTTGCCTGGCATGGTGGAAGGCAGCTCGCCTTCACGCGGGCGGACAGCTCAAAAGAGCAACGCTGCACTGTGCCAAGGGGCCAGGAAGCGACATCATGTTGCACTCAGAGAAATTTGCCGCGGGCTAGCGCTGAAAGAGAGCACGGTCAACATCTTGCTGTCTGCTCAAGATGCCACTGCTGCCAAGTTTAGGCTAAGAAGACTGAAGCAGCCCTATCAAAGGGAGCATGTATATATATATATATGTGTGTATGCATGCCAGTCAGTACCACTCAAAATCGTCGGCAGCTCGTTCGAGCTATTCGAACTTCGAGGAGCGTGCACACTCCCAGCATGTTGTTTACGCTACACAGCTCTGCCACATGAGATGCGTTGTGAGGCCCCGGGTGAACTGGAGGACGGTCTAATAATTGGCTCAATCCCTTTGGGAAAAAGGCACAACGATTCTCCTGGGTGGTGCTGAAGGAGCTCAAAGAGCTCTGGTGCTCACGAGCAATGATCAATCCTTTGGCAGTTCGGTTCCAAGGCTCACCTGATCCCAAACGCAATGCTTCCCACAGCACATTTGATACAAGATCATACACCCCAGTCTCTCACAGGTGTTGACTTCTTTTTGGGAGGGTTGCTTCCTGAATTGGCCGAAACGGGGATTCCACACGCTTCCGTGGACGCTCCACCTCCGCCACCGCCTTCAAGGGCTCCGAGCGCTGGCTCCTGGATCAAAGGCTTCCGATCAGCTTCCGCCGCTCAGTGGCTTGGCGCCCGGTGGGTTTTTTCGGGATGACATTGGAAGCCTTGGTTTACCACGTCGCCCGGGTTCCGAACCCGGGGAACCGGCCCGCCGCCTTTGCAAAAAGACACCGGGGAATGCGAACTCGAAACGCGCGCCGCCGGAGTGCCGAGGAATCCCAGGGCCTTGGCTCGGCAAGTTGTGGTCCATCCCAAAACCGAGGGCCGACCCACCTCGGTCGGCTCGGTCGTGGGATCTGAGTAGTAGGCTGGAGGTTTTGCTGAACCGAACTTCGGTGGGCGTCACCGAGCCTGGGCGGTGACACATCATCAATTCGGCGCACCTCAAACTTGCTGATGATTCCCTCGCTTTCTGTTTCTGGAAATGAGTGCTGATGCTGGTGATGCTGGAGCCATGGCATCCGAGTCTGAGCCGAGTCGTGCTCCGCTGGTTGCTATAGTCTGGGTGCTGGTATTGTCGACGTTTTACGCATGATGGAAAAATGGTGAGAGATGCACATCCCAATGTTTTCCCTTACGCAGAGGAAACCAGCCGAAGTATGAAAACAACCAAAGGCTCGGTCAAAGCATTTGAATCTGTTCTCAGGTCGGTGCGGGCGAAGCCCTCAAAGGTGAAGTTACAAAACTATCTATTGCCCAGAAAGGCCTTTCGTTCTTCCACATGCGACACTCTCGCCTGTCCTCTCCATGGCCGGTGTGCAGTTGACGATGCGTCGAACTGCACGGCGGCAGTGCGAGCCATGACTATAAACAAGCAATGACCACAACTCTGGTCGGATGAGGGTGGCCGAAAATTCGAAGCCAAGTATTAGTTCCGTTCCGCGTTTCTGGGGGGTGCAACCCAATGATCAACTTTATTATGATCAAAAAGACTTCTAAGGGCCTTGGTCGTGCTTCTTTTGAGAAGCATCCCTATCATTTCTCTCAAACAATTACTACTCATGATCCATTCCCATCCCAGCGGTATGGATGCAAGTAGATGGCACACTTCCCTTCTGTGGAAACGAAAAGGATGGCTAAACAATGGCAAAACCAAAAGCCCGGGGATTGCGGCATTTGCGTTCCAACCGCAACCTCAAAGTCGGGCCAGCAGGTCTCGGCCTGGGCAGCGCCAGCAGCTCTGCCGCGCCCCGCAGGGGCGCGCCCACGTCGAAGAGCACCTCACGCCGAACCGCTGGAAGAGGCGGAGAGCGCCATGGCCGCAGGAGTCAGAATCAAAACCGATCGGTATCAAAGTTTATAATCCCGGAACCATGCTTCCAGAACTCAGAAGGCGGGAGTGTCCCTAACCTTCATCTACCCGGATCTTGTGCACGTGGCCATGGCCAGCGCATCATGACTCAGAATTCCGGGGTAGGAAAGAAGCTCGTGCCAATCGACCTCCAACCATCACATGATGCAAACAAGTTGGGGGAACGGGTCTTTGCAGACTTTTTCAATCAAGGGGTGATTGTCCATCCATCCAGTCGTGGTTGAGAATCAGTGACCCGACTTGCAAAAATCGAGGTCATGGCGACGTCAATGACGTCAGTGCTCTCTGGATGCTTTACTGCATTGTGGATTATTAAAGGGCAGAAGCCGGATGACAGTCCCTCAGACTATCATGAAAGCTCCCCGAAGGCCGATCCTGTAAAAGGAACCAAGTCGTCGATTGCCTGGAGGGTATCCACTTCAGCTCTCGCCTGCTCAGCCACCGTAGAGTGCACCGCGCTGAGCGCTTCCAGGTGCCTGCCGAGGTTAGAACTTGGGATGCAGACATGGCGATGCCCAAAAGCAAGGCGAGTCATAATCAAACCTGGTACCAAAATGGTGCACCCAGAACCATATAAAGAATTAGCAGGGTGGCTGCACCCATTTATGGTTGGGATATTATCCCTTACTGACCGTCATCTACCCGTGTTCTGATTGTGGCTCAGGTTTGTTTGTTTATACAAGAGAATTTGTGGACAAGCGAGAAGGTGCCTTCGCGGCTTCGCGGCTTCGCGGACGCGGATTTTTGTTGCTAAACGATTCGCGGCACACAATGAGTCGCACAGCTGCCTTCGCGGACCTTTTGGGAGTTCCCCTCGTGGCGAAAATCCATCAATTGGAAAAAAAACTACAACGCTGCTCAACTATAGCCATAGCCGGTTGGGGCGCCTGGCAGCAATGGCCGGAGCATCCGTCTGTACGGCACACAGGCTTTCGAAGAGAAGCAAGGCCTGGCAGAAATGCATAACGTGCTTGGATGATCAACAAACAAGAATCTGTGGCCCAGGCATGCCCGGGCTCCCCAGGAAGGAGGGCAACGCTTGCGAACAACACAAGGCATGGACAAAGCAACCGAAATCAGGCTCTAGAACAGAGTGACAAGAACCACGCAAGCGCAATGCAAGCGCTCACATATCCACCCTTCCGGCCCTTCCACAACTCGCTGCATCTGCATCAGAAATGAGAATTGCGCCTGGGACTTGGTAGCCAGGACAAGCCTTGGAACGCCCGGGCCAGTCGCTCAATCTTGCTTCCAGAGCGGGCTGTGTGCGTGTGCGCGTGTTTTTGCATGCTTGCGCGAGCGCCACGAAAATGCAAGCAATGCATAGCGCCAAGCGACACATGCAGCTGAGCTCCATGCGACACCACGCTTTCGCGGCACAGGAAGGAGAGGAGCCAATCAATGAGCTGCGCCGTCCTGCATGCAGAGAGTCACGTGTTCCCAAGTGCAGTCAAAGAGAGCTATCGAAGCTTCAGCTGCTTCGAATCATCTATATTACCTAGAACTAACCCAGCTCATAACTGACCCCCAAAAACAAACTGCCTGGACTGCCCTGGTCACCGGCCGTGTGAAAAATCGATCCCAAGTCCCAGCCGCGGAATCCGGGAGCCTTGGCACCTGCTGCAGGGCGCAGAGCGCCCACAGCGCCCCCACCGCCGGCCGCGGCCGCAGCTCCGAGCCGTCGGGGTCCGAGACCTCGAAGAGACAGCCGGCCGAGAGGGTCGGCACAAAAAAAATCCTGGGATCAATTTCTGGGGCTTGAACGAAAAGTTTTGGTCAAATCCCAGGGTGTCCAAAAAAGGGTTCAAACCCCAGTGTCTGGAAAAGTTCGATTATTTAGACATGGTAATCGCCATCACTTCCAGAAGCGATTAACACAAAATGTGTGGCAACTCATCGGAAATTTGGTGCGGCAGCCCCGGTGAACAGGTTCCATCCCACTACTTGGATCTGTGCTCGAGCTGTCGGCGAGTTCAGGAGGACCCCGCAAACAGCTCCCAAGACATGCACCACTTCAGCCCAACTGAAATGCTTGAATTTGGGGGACTGGTACTGGTAGTTGTGGGACTTTCCAAAGTTTCACACCAGCCCCCCCCCCCTCCTGCGGATCGCAACAAGCAAGTTTCTTGTTTAGCGCCTGCCAACCCTCCAACTCGCCAATCAGAAGCTCCAGCAGCTCCGAGTCGGCCTCCAGCATCCTTGGACGGACTCCCCCCCCCCACCCCCACGATTTTTTGGGCCGTGTTCTGCAAAGCCCCCAATCTTGAACACTGCCAAATATCCTGAAAGTAAGGTGGGACAGCGTTCTCTTTGACCCTATGCCTGCTTTGTTGCTCAGAGAAGCAGGCAAAAAAAACCTCTGACGCAAAGAATAAAGAACAAGCATGCACAGAATACATGAAATCGTCATTTTGCCGAGCAGCGCCAGCGTTTGAATGGCCTGGACATCCAATGCACGGTCCAATATACTCAGCTACTCTCCCCCCAACAAGCATGAATGCACGGGACCTGGGCAAAACAAATGATCCTTTTCTGACCTGTTTTACTGTGGCATGTGTTTAAAGATTGGCTCTGATAGTCTTTCAATACAATGAAACCCTTCATCGCCAACATTTAAGTTGCATCTCTTCATCTGGCAACCTTCCCCTTACCAGTCAAGCAGAACGGATTGCAAGCTGTCTCAAGAATGCTGATGCCATCTTGTGCCAAAGCAGTAGACCACCCACAGATCCAAGCCCATTGAATGACTTGGGTTGGGGATTGACTTGTCTTGTGACCCTGCTTCATACAAGAGTGGCGCTGGAAGAGTTATACATCTTGGATGAAGATCTCCTCAAGTCGCAAGAACTTCCCAGGGCAAAAGCCTTGAAAGCACCTCGCCAGGCGTGGCAATTGCTTAGACACAAGAATCCCAAGTCGTCAATGTCTAGCCCTTTTCTTGTTCGGCAAAAAGTCACTCAGCCAAGGTCAGAAAGTTATATTTCCTGCTCTGCAAGGCTGGGAAAACATATTTGTGTTATGAACAAGCAGCTGGAACGGTGGTAAAAGCTCTCTCCCAGCGTCCTCTCAAGAACCTCCCGCGTGCTTTCTGCACAATCCTCTGAGTTCCAACTCAACCTCCCTATCCCCAGGCACCCACGCACCTACTCACCCACCCACCCCCCAACACCACCCCCCTCCCCCCCTCCCCCCCGCCCCGCCCGTGCGGTGTTCCGGCGGGAGATGCGGCCACCGTTGGCGCGGTACCGCCCTGCAATGGCCTCCCGACGACCCAGCCACGCCACGATGACCCAAAGAAAGTTTCAGTACCAAGATTGGCCGATGCTGGATTGGCGTATTCTGGATCATTTAGGGCATGACATCTTTGTGATATCAAAGCATGTGAAGCGGCTCACGATCACCTTCTGCATCACACCCTGCGCAGAATATTTTCTGCAGTCCGTGAACAGCCTCGGGTCCTCTCCTTTGACCTCTGCTGCATTCCAATTCCCATCCCTCCACTGGCCAACGCTTGAATCCCTGGCAACCCGCACCAGTCATCATTGGCGGCGAGAGGCGCCAGCCCACGTCTCGTGCCACAATGTCTCCCTCAAACAGACTCGCATTTGCCAAGCTGTCTTGATTGAGGTCAATAAGGTCAATATCCAAAAGATGATACTAGTCAGTTGCTTGGCTACTCTTTGGTTTGACCTTGAGCATGTTTCCCTCTTTGAAAAGATGATTGCTTCCGGGGGGGGGGGGGAAACAAGAAAAAAACAAGAAAAAGCAACAACATGTCGAGTTGGACGGATTTGCAGGCGTTCGAATACCAACCCATCGTCATTTCCAACGCTGGCTCCGGCGCATTT